GAGTAATATTTAAAAGGAAGTGACTTTACTTTCGAAGTTTGGCAGACACATACTTTGATCTAAGGCAAAGATATATTATCTATTTTGAATTGTGGACTCATTTGACCTCTGACGTGTAAGTGTAGTAAGTCCCTTTGCAGGCTTTTTCACTTTCAAATCATGATGATATCAACACTTTCACATGAAAGATGCAAAATTACTGGACACCCAAGGGCTACCATTGTGCAACTGATTATCTTTCTCAGCATTTGTTTCAAAGCACTATTTATTCCCACTGGGTACATCAACTGAGAGAAGAATTCTTTGGACTTTATTTCTGATGTATTCAGGGCAGAGATGAGGAGCACTGAAAAAAGAAACCTTGCTTGTGATGGTAGAAAAGGAGTCCATATTTGAAATCCTCTGGTCACTTCTGCTGCTCAACACTTTGAAATGCTATGCCTTCCTTCCCAAAATTAGGGAGAGGAATATATAGAAGAAAGAAAAAAAAAAAAAATCTATCTTTCAAGTCTAGTTATTGAGAAGTACTTTTATCCTCACCCTCCTCCTTGGTAGTGGATGGAAAACTAAAGGAATTTTACAGATTAATTGTAGTTGAGTTTGGCCATGTAGAAATCAGAATTTTCTTCATATAGAGACAACTCTCAGCAAGGTCTAATATTTAATCAGCTTTCAGTCCTATAAAAGAAACACTCAGTGCAACTCCTCAAACCCCTGGCATCCCAACAGTTCCCAACCCCTCTGAAGGATCAGTAATTTATAGATGTTTTTTTAGCACAAGGAGTATAACACTCCACATTATGCTTGTCAGATAGTCTTTTGCACAGCAGTAAACAGATGATGACAGCTTCACACTTTCTATCTTCAGATAAGGCAATTCCAGAAATGGTGGATGTTTTGGAGCTTCGTGGGGCGCTAATGGCACCACGGGGCCAGAAAGTGGTTTCCATGCCTGTATCTCCTCCAACTTTCCCAAAATAAAGCTTCCTACAGCCACGGACTACTGCTTATGCAGGGTTCAGTTTTCCAGTGGTTACAAAGATATACTTAAATTACAAGCAATAAACCTTGATTGGGCCTGGGTTCTCAGAAGAGATTCTTATTATAAACATTTATTTCTAGAAGTTTAATTTCTGTTTCTCCCACAGCAGAATTTTTGGGGCAACCATACAATGCTTAACACCCCCAACCCCTCCCTCCCAACTTATTTCTTGCTTACAAATAAAGAGATTTGCAGTGGCCATATTATGAATGGTTTTATTTCTGTCGGGCATTTTTGTAATACATTGCTACTGTTCCAGTCTTGCCTATGTAACTAAAAAAATAAACCATAGATCTAAAAGTACACAGTATTAGTTTTACCCATAATCAATATAGCAACTGATTCAAAGTATACTACAGAGGCACTTTACAAATAAGAAAAACGTAACTTAAATCCATGTTTCAAGGTTATTTAATTCCAAAGGTTACTTCTAACAAACTCAACTACCCACAGAGCTGCTAGTTTGATTGTTTTCAAACAACAGCTGACTGAGACATTCTGTGTATGGCTGTACTTACACATAATGTTTCAAAGCAGTAATGCTCTCTTGTGCTTAATGAGACGTTACAAAATATATTCTTCATTTGAAAAATGTGTGCAATACTCAATGCAGAAATTAAGTTCATTTTTAAAGTGTAACACAAGTATAACCAAATACATACACTATATACAGAGTGTTAAGGAGTTAATAAGGCTGCTTAGTCTTTTAAATCTGGCATATGGTACTACAGATAGGACACACACACCCACAGAAGATATCGCGGATATTCCCCTGAAAGTCCAAAGCTAAGTGCTTGCATAAATGTCCCACCTACTTTGAACACTCAGTCAGACTTTAAACTGAAAACGTAGTTACTTCTAAAATAGATTTCTAACATGGAGATGTTATTTTTGGAGAAGAATATAAGAAAAAAAAACTTGATTAGCCTCTGGACAATCAGAAATTTCTCGACGGTGTTAACATCTGCATGACTGTGCACACTGCATGTTCATTTATACATACAGAACAAAAAACATAAACCCACATCTTCTAGCAGGAAATGGGAAACATTCAAAATAATAAATTTTCTTTAGGAAAACTTGATTTATATATACAGTACATAAAAAAAATCCCTACACAATTGTCAGCATACAAAAATATGAGTGCAGTATCTTTTTATACTTCAAAACCTATTGCTGAAAAATCCAGGTATCCTGAGTCAGGTATATGCTGCACATCTAATTTATCAATGCCAGGGTACTGTTGGAATACAATTAGAAAAGCACTACCTGCATTTATCAACAAGTACAGAGATAAAATACTTAAGGCAATGCATTAGCTCTTTTCATAATATTAAACAGAAAAGGTGCAAAATATGCGTAAAATGCTTGCAGACATATCCATGAAGGAGCTGTAAAATAAAGAGTATGGAACAATATGTATATATATACTACAGTTACTGATGAAAATAAATGAAAGACACTGTCCTTTTTTGAGCATCATGCTTAACCATGATGTGTATACTCACATTCAGGCAATTGTCTTAAATACATATTTATATATTTATATATACACACTACATCTGACAATGAATTAATAAAACATGTTTTGCTTGTGAATTTCTCTGAGTAAAAACAGATCAATAAAAATGGTTCATTAAAGGATTCCAACAATAGAAATTGAATATGATTACTATAAATCCTTGTTGAGTAAAGTTTAATTGTTTTGGCTCTAAACCAGTAGAAGTTCTGACTACTATTGACTTTGTTAAAATAAACAAATATAAACCAGTCCAAAAAACAAGAACTCTGTGGCAACTCAGCTGTTTCTTGGCCTGTAACCCTCTCTTCCCAGTTTTTAAATCTTCTATACATCCCCCACAGACTAGCACTGAATCATGGCAGTATTTGGTAATGTATGCCTCTAGATCCTTCAATTTATTCCTGGAAGAATTACACTTGTCTTGGAAGAAAAAGCAAAAATTACATACAGAATGCTTTCCCTACAACAGTATAGCACATTTTTATAAAAATAGGCTGCATAACCTGTTTCTGTCAAAGCAAAGATTTAAGAAGCAGTAGGTGATACACTCCTTGTAAATCATCACTCTTGGTCATCTCATCACCTGAAGTTTAAAAATTTATGAGAGGATAAACATATTGTGATGAGAATGGATTTTTTTTTTTACTCTGCAGGTGCACCTTGTATAAGGAACAAATACATCCTCTACATATCCCAAACAAGATAAACAGCTTTAACAATCAGTATATATGAATTTATAATTTAAGAATGGGCTTACTAAAGGTCCAAATAATGCTATTAGAAGTCAGTGTGTTGGAATGTGCAGTGTGCTCTGAAAACAGAGGGATAAGAAAAGCAGTTTGGAAAGCTGCACAATGTTTCAAGCAAATATGGGCTTTTGAAGAGCATTTTGAGAAATCAGGCACTCTTATTAGATAGCCACTGGGACATTTATGCCCCGTTTCCTCTGCAAATAGGTTGGATTCAATGATCTCAGAGGTCTTTTCCAACCTTACTGATTCTGTGATTCTGAGTAATTCTGTGAAACCATATTTTTATGCGCTACGTGAAGTCCTAGAAAACCAGGACTTCAGTTTCTCAGCTCCTCGATACCATGCTAAGTAGATACTCTGCAGTACAGGTCACCAGTAAAGCTCACAATGCTGAATAAATTTTTGAAAACTGTCTCTAGAAGGGGCAAAAACGAAAAAAGAACCAAAAATTAGATACAAAAACAAGAGGTCAACATTTCTGATGCACACTCATGAAACTAAAGCTAAAGAATCTGGTCCAGGGACTGGCTCATAACTATTTGTCCCATGCTTTCCACAACAAAACAAAATAGGGCATTATAATATTATAAAGGGGAGACTATTTTGGAATATTTGCAGTCCTACCATTTTCGATGCTTTATAAAAAAGTGATGACTAGTTACAATAATGCATACCTATGTACGCAACAGATCCTGTTCTCTAGGTTATTTTCTGTTATCTAGGATAAGCAGCCCCATGTAGCTGACAGCTGACTTCCCTCACAGCAAATCCAACCTCATGTGGGCAAGCCTCACAGGAAGATGAGCGCTCCCAACTGGGCTGACACCGGCACACCCTTGGCATGAGGCACTTACGGCTTCTCTGTGCTTCTGATGTCTGAACAAGCAGAAGCTGAAACATTACTGGTGGTTTTGCCTGGAGCAGGAATAACCGTAGCCAATACTGCTGTTCTGAATAAAACACATCTCAAATATGAGATCCTGACTAGAACGGCACCTATAGAAAACATGACTCTTTCTTGTATGTACAAGCATTAGATCATGCTAAACAAAAAATGTAAGTCTCTAAAAGCAAAACTTTGTTTTCCAATTTAGATTTTTTTTGGTTTTGTGTATTATGTTTTTTTAATTAAAAATATGGTCCAATAGCTTCCAATAACTACGAAAGAGAGTAAACTTCAAAGGACAAAATTGAAATTGTTACTGGAGTGTTCATTACTGCATGTCTTTGTCAAAGTTTAAGGCAAATATTCTATATTTAAGGTAGAACCAGTACTGATATGACTACATAAATATACACATATTGAAATGCACATATATATGTGCTAACATATATATCTGTGGATATATAAAAATATTTATTTTCTTAGCAAAGTTAAAGTTTGTGTAAAAACATTTATAATACTGACAAAACTAGGGGCTCTAATTCCTCCTTTGGAGAAAAGTAACAAGTTCCCTAAATGTCCCATACAAAAACCTCTCTCGCTGTAAGAATACAGATCCTTTTGAGTTCTCACTTATTTAACTGTGGATTAATATATTTGCTGAAGATTTCATAGATAATTAGATCATATGCAATAATTAGGTTGTGAAGAATGATTGCTACAGCATAACTACAGACCTCTGTTGTACAAAAAATAATTTTTATTCATACAGTATGCATCTTGCTCTTATGGAATGCGTAGCTACTGCTACGAGTAGAGCTATTTCAGAATACAGTTTTTCTTCTAATGTGTTCACATTTCAAACCTCATTTTGGGGCATTTTCTCTGAAAATTCTTTGGCCAAAAGAACAGCCAAATGCAGATAAATTTTCCCTGGGACCTCTAAACAGGCAGTACAAATTCAAAATAAATTTATAACAACTACCACACCACAGAACTGAAATGCTTTACAAAACAATTCTGACCAAATATGGGAAATGGTAGCATAAAATATCAAAACCCCGAACTATGCTTCAACTTAAACCACAGACATATCCAGTTAAACATAACAACACTGACTCATCCCTGCCTTATGTAAATTTGCTAGTGTAGTGCTATAGAAGATTATACACAAATCTGGAAAACTCTGAAATGCAGAGACGCAAAAATGTGAAACATCCACTAGACAGAGTCTGAAATTCAGCCTAACAGTGGGTGAAGGTCAGACTTATTCTTTTCCTTCACTATAATGGCAACTAAAAAAGGGCAGAACTTCACCTCACATGCTATCCAGGTACTCTTCCTAATGTGATATAGGTCCTCCTTCCAGTGTGACAATGCACTGCTTCAGATAAGGCTGAGCTTACTGATTACAAGCACACATTCATAGCAGCAGTTTGCCTGCAGCCATTAAACACAACTCTGAGACAAGTTTTCCATCTTTAAACCTCACATTATATCCTTGAAACAGTAACATGAACGTTCTGAGAAATTAGGACAGCGACAGGAAAAAAAGCTTTATCAAGTGCAAAGGGCCTCCTCATATGAAGTGCATGCTCATTATCAAGCCTAGCTTACGTACGCTTTTATTCCTGCTACAAGAACGCATTCTGTACAGTGTACAAGTGAAGGCATTCCCTCTGAAAAAGACATTTGTTTTCAAGCTGCTGGCTATACCTATAATGAACAAGATACATCAAATTAATCTGATTCCAGTGTAAAATTCCCAAGGAAGATTCCTGAACTACTAGCGTAAGGCTGGAGTACACAGATTTCAGAAACGTTTTTTGGAAGACATTCTTCAATGCCAATAGAGAATATTTAGGGTATTTCTTTCTTTATCCTGAGTAAAAGGTTGGTTTTCTTTTTTTTTTTATTTATTTATCAAAGCCCTCGGGACATACTGCTCTAGCACAGTTGGATTTTTGTCATACAGTCCCAGTATCCTAAAGGTCATTATTGGATTGTTTCCTGGAGCAGTTCTCCTCACTCTTCTCCAACAGGTGGTGGTGGCTGGCATAGCTTGTATAATCTGAAAATGACAAAACCAAAAGTAATTGTTATTCTGAGAGCTTGTTCATTATTAATATGAGGAAATTTAAGGAATACAAACTAAATCTATGTCTTCCTGGACTGCAAAACAAGAGGTACTGAATTCAGTTTAATACCATCAATGCAAAGCTAGTAAAATCTTCTTTGTGAGCATTAATGTTTACATTGAAAGTCAAATCATTAAAATACACATCTATTATAAAAGGCATTTCAGTATAGTCAAAGTTTCATATTTCTTCAGTGAAGACCCTTTCACTAATCCAATTACCAGTTGTTGCCCTGAATGTCCAAATTGGAAAAGCTGCTTGGTGAATGCAACTGCCTCCATTTCTGTTTTCTCTTGGCACAGTTAAACCCCACTCTAAGAACAGTTCCCAAAAAAACTGATGCTGTCTGAAAGACCTAAGACAGATGTCAGACATGTGACACACCACCATGAGGATTTTTAACTTTCTTCCCTCTATTTCCAAATGGATGATGCCAAGACCAGTAAGATTTGGTTCAAGTGACTACCTTAGTACAGATTGAAATAGCCACTCCTTTTACAAAGTCTTTTGGACTTCTCTTAAATCCTTTTGCCAGGACTTGGTTATTAGAAAGTGTTTGAAACTTTACCTTAATGTTAAAAATACTGATAATAAAAGGCAATCACTCTGACCTCAAACACTCTGTTCTGTACTCTGATGCTGAAGTATCAAAGTAATAGAAATAGTGGGTTTGGTAGGTCTGGCTACAGGCAGGGTAGTGAATCATCCAGTGACCTGGGGGCTAGGGATACTTAAGATACTCAGGGTATCTGAGTATGACAGGGTATCTGAGTATGGGGTTGTTTAGTCTGGAGAAGAGAAGGCTTAGAGGTGACCTCATCACTCTCTTCAACTACCTGAAGGGAGGTTATAGCCAGGTGGGGGTTGGTCTCTTCTCCCAGGCAACCGACAACAGGACAAGGGGACATGGGCTCAAGCTCTGCCAGGGGAGGTTTAGGTTAGATGTTAGGAAGAAATTCTTTACAGAGAGGGTAATCAAGCATTGGAACAGCCTACCCAGAGAGGTGGTGGATTCACCATCC